CGATGCTTATTTCGCATGTTAGGAGCGTTTTGGTGATTCAAAGTTTTGACCCTCTCTTGGCGTGTTCAGGAGGAGTGGCCCTATATTGTCGATGTTTGTCCCTGATCTATCGAATGATACTTTCTCTTTCAATGAAATAATTTTTTTCTTTGAAAATGTTTAACCTTTTGTGTGTAAGGTAACAGAAGGAGTGGACCGATATCGCCCATCTCCGAAGTCGATCTAATTTTTTGTACGGGTGCATTAACAAAATAGGCAAGATCCATATTTTCAAGCCAAATTAAATTCTTTCAAATGTTGTACTCTATAGAAAAAATAATCTAAGATAGCAGATCTTGTGAAGATCTTCTATTTATAGAACACGTTTTGAAGGTCTTCTAAATATAGAATCCACCATAAAGATCTTATTTAGACAGAAAAGATCTTCGATAGATAGAAGGCATCATAAATATCTCCTTTTTATAATACCCCACATAACTAAATTTTTTTTGAGGCTTATAAACTTCCTTGTGATAGAAATTAATTCTATAATCAAACTTTGCCAAAGAATAAGTCCTACTAAAGGTTACATCTAAAAGAAAGGCCTAGATATAGAGACCTAATAAAGTTTTTCTCTCTATAGACAAAATACCTTATAACAAAATCTAAATTCTATAGATTGAATATCTCTCCATGGTCTTCTTCTATATATAGAAGACATTTTAAAAGGTTTTTATTAAAAATAGCCTTTTACATGTGTTCAACGTACTACAATATCTCTTAATGACCTTTTCATTTATCATACCTTTAAAAATGTAGAATTTCTTCAATTCACAACATCCATCTCTGATGAATGCTTGAGATTTTGCGAAAGAAAATCAACAATACCTTCTCAACATCTCATTTGTAAATGTAACCAAAAGAAATCTGAAGAGTAGTTTCTTTGTTTTCTTTAATTAACTGAGTAAACGTAACACAAAGAGAGAGGGAGAGAGCGAGATTTTAGTGGACACTCTGCTAATAAAAGACGACGATCCAAGAATCAAAACAACCAACAACACATGCATGGAATACCCCCTAAAACTAGCCGGTTATAAACAAACATTGAGCATTTGTGGAGAGCTGAGAGTGGGAGAGAAAATTAAACAAACCAAAGTATTGTTGAGTGGGCCGGTTTCTGGTGGGTCGGCAACATGAAATAGAGAAGGTGGCAAACGGGGCAAATAAATAGGAAAAATAAACAAAACAACATGCCTAGATAAATTAAACATTCTTACACTAAACATGGGAGGGAGGGAGGTAGAACAGACTGCGGCGATGGCATAGCACAGAGTGGCTAGTTTATAAAGAAAAAAACAATAACAATAAACTAATTTTTGAGGGGTTTCAGTTAATTTAAAAGAGAACAGAACAAGTGTTGCTCTTCATACCTAGTAGTAGTTTGTTTATGTAAATAATAATAATAATGAAATATTTAAACAAAAAAGAACCGTTTTGCCATGGGCGAGAATGAAACGAAAAATTATAGTGGAGTGTCATTAGAGGTGCAGCAGCAGCAGCAGCAGTCAAATATCATTGAATAAATAAATACAAATGGCACCACCACACTTAAATAAATATTGAATATCGAAAAATGATACCACCTCCCAAACTAATTAGGAAAATTAATGTCTGTGGAAAAAGAACACCGTATAAATGAATGTGGTATTCAAATAAAATAACTTAATTTTGAAAAAATGAAGTTATGTGTGGATTTCGGGGTATTCGAGGTACATCATTCAGGTCGGTGGCTCAATTCTTGTTTTATATAAATGTGAAATGAGAACTTTAAAATGAAAAGAAATGTTGAATAAAAAATGTAGTAAAGCAAATGTTTTTCATTTCATATTTTCATCGAACTAGAATTCAGCCTCAATAGTTCCCTTTGGGGTCTATGGTGGAGAATATTAGTGCAAAATTTTGATGAGGGATAAATTTATCCCTTTTTTCCAAATCACTATAAAACAATATTTTTTATTCTTTTAGATAAATACCAATTAGTATCATTCAAATCTGCCGACTTTACAGGACATTAATAGCATTGCTAAGATATTCTGAATGATTAGACGGCTTTATACCAAAAATTCCAATCTACACTTACACACTGCAACAAATTTCAATTTTTCCAATAATTACAAGGAAAATCCACCGTACAAATATACCCACCTTCCCCACTACTTTTAATGTTTTTTTTTTCTGCAACAAATTTCAATTTTTCCAATAATTACAAGAAAAATCCAGAAGATTTTGAAAGTAGAGCTAATGCCATGTTTACGTTAGGACTTTTTGTAGGGAGAGGATTTATTTACTTTGAGAGGATTTATTTAAAGTAAAAGTAATGGATATGACAATTTAAATCCAAATCCGGTGGGTTAACCCTCATATATATAAACGTACTGTAACAGTAGAATTCACTTATATCAACGTTTTGAAAATTTACATCGCAAAGTAAACTAACAAGAGGGGTAAAATACCGCCCCCCCCCCCCCCCTCTTCAACACTTTTTGACTTTTTGGGTTAAGATTCCTTGAAACCTTGCATTTTGGTGAAAATTTTCCAAAAAAAATTATTCGCGATGGAATTCAAGCGTGATAGTGTGATTCCTTTATATTTGGCTGGAAAATCACAAGTGGCTATTGTTAGAGCACTCCAGCATTTAAATGTGAATAAATCTTTTGTGTCTCTTACCATCGCTCGTTACCGGGATACACTGGTAGCGTAGCCCAACGTCAAGGAAGTGGGCGGTAGAAAACAGCAACATCAGCAGAAATGGTTCGAAATGTAAATAAGTGCGGTTGTAAGACTTTTAGTTTTATTTAATTCTTTGGTTCTTCTTCTATTGAGCTTACGATCTCGTCACTTGGGATAAAATTGTTATAGAAGTTATTTTTAATAACTTCTGGGGAGAATATCCCAGCCAAAAAACAAGGGAACTGATGAGGATTGGTGGCTCTTTCCGAAACCTAGGTATTCCCTGGTAAACATTACCACCGCTCTCCACTAATAAACCAACGTTTGTTTTTATAAAAACAACAATCAAAGGATTAAGCCTGACCATTTTTGCAACAACAAAATACTATGGTATCCCGAACAAACAAGCCAACAATGTTCTGAAAAGAAGCGACTTGATCAAAACCCGAAAAATGGTTCGTGGGCTGAACACATCGCAATATTCCATGCAAAAACTTGAAAAATGAGGTCGGTGTAGAGCCATTGAAATTCCAAAAAGTGCAAGAACTTACGCCGCAACAAGAAAAAATAGACTCAAAAGAACTAAAGAGTTGCTTCCGAAAGTGGTGAACTGCCGAATTTGGGTTTCTCCGTCTCCAATGAGAAAACATTCATTGTCCAGCAGTTTGTAAACAAACAAAATGATCGAGTTTACTTGCCAAAGAGGTCAGCTGAAAATGTGCACCTTCGGTTGGCCACCAGAACTCAAGCGTATTAATCGACCGTGTCATCAGAATAAATGTCGAATATTATCGCAAAAATATTCTGGAGGGTTTATTAAAGCCTTGGGCACGCAAATGGGGCTATGCAAAAATGTGGACCTATACATACAACCCGAGATAGAACCCATTATGTCCAACAAATACCAATTTGTAGACAAATCTGTGAAAGAATGTGGCGAAAATCATCCAAATACCGAATATCGGGAGGTACCATTATATGGGGGCTATGTTTCTACAATGTTTCGCCACACGAACTAGGTCCCATTATGACCTACATATACCAGTTTTCAGACAAATCCGTGAAAAAGTGAACAAAAACCATTAAAATACCGAATATCGGGAGGTAACGTTATATGGGGACTATACCAAATCGTAGACCTATATATGCAATGTTTCGCCATCGGAACTAGAACCCATTTCGAACTAAAAATACCAACTTTTAGACAAATCCGTGAAAAAATGTGGCAAAAATCATCAAAATACCGAATATCGGGAGGTACCGTTATATGGGGGCTGTACCAAACCGTGGACCTATACATACAATGTTTCACCACACGAACGGGGACCCATTTTGACCCTTAAATCCCAATTTTCAGACAAATCAGTGAAAAAATGTGGCATAAATCATCAAAATACCGAATAGTGGGAGGTACAGTTATATGGGGACTATACCAAAACGTTGCCCGATATATCTCATTTTCAATACAAATCATCCTAGACACAATACAAATTATTCTACTAAATTTTGACGCTCTACGTCAAATAATGTGGGCAGTATCGTGATTTCAACAGACAGACGGACATCGTTAAATCGACTTAGAATTGTATGCTGATTATGAATATATATACTTTATGGGGTCTACCACGAATATTTAGGGATGTTACACACGGAATGACAAAGTTAATATATCCTCCTTTCCAAGGTAGAGGGTATAAAAATACCAACGTGCTGATCACTTCAAGCAAGCGCTTCGCCGGAAATGGGCCAAAATACCGCAGGGCAACATTCGAGCAGCGTGCCAAGTCCTGCAAAAGGTGACCAATTCGAGCAAATCTAAAAAAATCTAAAATTATTCTAAAATTTGATGCTATTTCCGACATTTTTTGCTTTCATTCAATAAAATTAAAAAAATAAAAATGTTGGCGTTTGACTTTGTTGCATTTTTTTATCTCACCCTGTATATCTAAAATGTAAGGATTCCAAGAAATCTTTCAGAAATTCAAAAAAATTCCGAAGAGGGGGGAGTTTTTGTTACTTAGCGATATAAACTGTAAAAACTCCAATACACTGTTATTCTAATTTTAATTAATTTTTCCTGTAATTATTGTTGTTTTGTGTTGTTGCCCTGTGTTATCAATCTACACTACAGTCAATGGCGGGGTTATTAAGACAGGAAAAGTTAAATACACAAAATTAACAACAACTAAATCGATAATCAAATTCTAATACTCAAATTTCGTACAATAACTTGCAAATAAAAAATTAAAAACCAATAATTTAAAATTAAAAAATATTGAAACTCTACTTACATTTGGTGAACCCTTTGTGTCGTTGTTCAACATAATTTGAATTTTGAAGGCGAACCGATTGGTGGGGATTTTTGTTGTAGATGAAAATTGTTTTTTTGTTTTTGCAAAATAAACAATAAAAACTTAAAATTGTATTTTGACTAGGATGCCGATGATTCAGATGATGATGATGATGACAGTGGTGATGGTTGCTAACGAACGACGATGTTGAGATGAAGATTTCAAAATACTAGATAACCTTGATTGGGTTGATTCGTTCGATTTCTTTCTTTCTTATTCACTGATGACCACCAATGTGTTATCGCCGTAACTTAATAATCAGGGCACGATGGTGCTGATGATGAACTCTGTTCGGCGGGATATGCGAAAAACAAACGAAGAAAATGGGAAAAAAGAAAGAAAAAAGAAGAAGGAAAACTAATTAACAAAAACGTAATGAACGAACAAAAAAAAATCATAACAAGGATAATACGTGTAAATAGCAATTAACATTGTAATTTAATTAACAAGTGACAGTTCAATGAATACAGGAGTAGTGGGGGAAATTAAGATACGGCATGTTTTTGATCTTTCAGTTCATTAACCAAAACATATGATTACGAAAATAACTATAAGGATGGTGATATGGTTTAAATATTCGTAAGCTTATTTTTAAACAAGTTAAAAAACAGTAAGTTCGGCCGGGCCGAACTTTGAATACGCTCCACCATTTGAAAATTTAGAAATTTTCGAATTTAGAAATTTTTAAAAAATAATCCTTAAAAAATTCTGTTACAATTTAAAAAATACCGAACATAGTAGTTATATTGGAGTGTATACGACGTGGACCTACATATGCATTGTTTGTCATAAGCCATTAAAATATTCAAATTCGAAACTTGGATTAAAGGTCAATTACGTAGCTAAAATCATCAAAATATTATATTTAGGGAGGTACCGTTATATCGGAGCTGTGAGAAGACCTGAACCAACATAGACAATTTTCTGTCACAGGCTGTAGCATCCATTACGAACTTCAAATACGACATCTCAAACGATTTCGGTGAGTATTGTACCTAAAATCGTCAAAATACCGAATATAGGGAGGTACTGATATATGGGGCCTATACGAAGACCTGGACCTGTATGGACAATTTTCTGTCATAGGCTGTAGTATCCATTACGAACTTCAAATACCAAATTTGAAACAATTCCGGTTAATAATGTCTCTAAAATCATCAAAATATCGCATATGGGGAGGTACCGTTAAATGGGGGCTATATGAAGACGTGGACCTGCACAGACAATTTTCTGTCTTAGACTGTAGTATCCGTTTCGAACTTTAAATACCAAATTTGAAACAGTTTCGTGATTACAACAGACAGACAGACGGACATCGCTAAATCGACTTAGAATTTTACGCTGATCAAGAATATATATACTTTGTTGGGTCTGACATGATTATTTCCAGGAGTTACAAACGGAATGACAGAGCTAATATACCCTCCATAGTATGGTGGAGGGTATAAAAATTTATAGGTTGCACATAAATTGTTGAAAAAAGTAACCAATTTGGCCAGTTCAGGATCTTAGATTAGAAATAATATACGCCTCTTCTTGTTTACGGAAATATTGAAATGTAAAATAACTCTCATTCCAAATATTAGAATTCTAGCTCATTCCAATACAAAGTATTCGATTTTTAGTACTTTTCGAATACTTCTAGTAAAAATTTCCAAAAAGCCAGTACTCGAGCAAAATTTTAAGATTTAAGAGATGAAGTCGAGTCACTCGAATTAGAGAAAAAGTTAGCTCTAAAAGTGAAATTGAGTGGAAAAATATTTGTTTTTTTTCTACTCCCAGGAGGGCTTACGTTATTTGTCTCCGTGTGAATTTCCATCTCAGCGAGTTGTCCGGTGAATTGATCAGAACAACCGTAAAGGATCACAGACAAGACAGATTCCGAAAAAACAAATGTATTAAAAATGTTTTGCAGTTTTTTTGTGGGTAGAAGATTTGCATTCGATTTTTAGATGTGGTCTAATAAGGTATCCATATGTGAAAATTTCTTGAAAAAATATTCATTGTGTCAAATGAGTGCTGGGGCATAGGTCTTCTTGTTATATGAAAATGTAAAACAAGTAAAATAGTATCAGTCGGTTTTGTCGACAGGTGTATACCCCCAGCCCTGACTTATGATTATTCAAACTGTTGACCCTTTATGGGGGAGGTCCCGAAGCAGTTTGCAAATATTACAACGTACCAGATTTGGACTATATCAAGTTGGAAAGGATCGCCGACTTTTTTTTTCGCAAGTTATGACAGATAAAAGTATTGAAAATCGTGCCTCTTTGCGGTTTAGGTACCAGAAGGGGGGTTCGCAGATATATATCATCTTCACAATAGATGTTGCGTAAACAAAAATATTAGGATGTGTGAAATTTGAAAAGAGTTAGATGTTTGTTTAGCTTTCTTCGAGCATTGCGCTTTTCGAAATCTTGAATTCTATGTGCTGGAGGTCAGAAGAAATTGTCCGATCTCCACCATCTTTATAACAAATCTTGTGTTGCTGGAAATATTGAGATGTACCAAGTCTAGATTGAATCGGTTTTAATAGATACTAAAAATATTGACCCTTTATGGGAGTAGGGACCGATACATCCCATCTTGACACCAGACCTTGGATTAATAAAAATTTTGTGATGTGTGTAATTTAAAGAGAACCGGATGCTTATTTCGGACTTAATAATCGGTTATTGGGAAGGTACCAGAAGGAATGGTCCGATCTCTACCAACTTCACATCACACCGTGCATTAATAAAAATACTGAGATATGTGTAATTTGAAGACAATCGGACTCTTACGTCACATTTTATAAGAGTTACAATTATTCAAAATGTTGAGCCTTTGTGGGGGAGGTACTTGATGGAGTGGACTGATATTTTTCATTTTCGCACCTGAACTAGGTTTCGCAAAGTTGGAGCAAAATCGGATTATCTTTTCTCTTTTTGTGAACAGTGAATTATTTTCTTTGAAAATATTGACATTTTGTGTGGGAAGAACCAGAAGGAGTGGACCAATATTGCCCATCTCCGAACTCGATCTAAGTTTGACGATAATATTATGATGTTCCAAGTTTGGCAAATCCCATACTGCCGTCGAAGGATATCGTGCGCAACAGCCAGCCAGACGGACATCACTGGATCGACTCAAAATGTCCTTAAACGGATTTGCCATATGCCGAATGAAAACTTCTAGAAAGAAAATATTCATTTCATGGAACAAAAATCCAGCGTCAGGTCTTTGGAAAACCTACCTTCTAAATTAAGCATTATGCTCATTGTCTTTGAGAACGTCTCTATTGGTCTAAACACCCCACAGATTTCCAAAAAAAATTTTCTATAAAAAAAAGTTGACACCCTTTGTGGATTGTGAAATATATGTAAAATTTTGAAGATCTATATCTCGAAAAACCTACATTCAAATCTTTATTGGTTAACTGTGTACAAATTTTGTATGTAAACCAGCTATTAAACTTTCAAGCACTCAAGATGATTCGTGACGTAAACTTTACTTTAAGCAAAAAATCTCCAAAACGAAGCATTTCTTTCAGAATTCAGCTTCTTTAATTTTTCTTCTACATTTTGATGCAAATAGGTTATATTTTTTATTGTCAACACTGTGGCATCCCTTTACCAGATGAGGTAAATCAAAATTGAACACAACCTTCTCAAAAAATGCAACTCAGAGTAAAAATTGCAGAAACTGCAGAATAACAACAAAACCGTCAATATCTGAATGAGAAATTAAAATGCAAACGATGATAATAATGTCTCTAATAAGAATGCACATTCAGAGCACGCCAATAAGAACGATACAAGATAATGCACAATAAAGCAGGACACAACATAACAAATCCCAACAAGAAACAGAAAAAAATCAATAAAACATACCGGGGAAAATAATAATGAGAACAACAACAAACCACAGCAGCCAGCCAGCCACACACTGTTGTAAAGGGAGTAAACGAACGAGTTTTCTTGTTGTAATCCGAAAAAAAACAGAACATAAATGTTGGCCGCGGAGAGATATAGAGAGAGAGAGAGAGAGAGTGCCTGAGCTCAAGAGGCTGTGGCATGTAGCATGCAAAAACAGAAAGAAAAAGAAACCCCAACACAGCAATGAGAATGACAAGGTAAAATGAAATGGGAAAAATGATGCAAACACATACACGCACACACACACGTATCAAAAAAACCGGACAAGTTTTGTGGCTGGTATTTTATTACCCACCAAATACCACCACCCCCTCCCATAGTCCTATATGAATGAATTTTTAGAGGATGAGGAAGCAAAAAACACTTGGAAAACTATAATATCTGGGTTTCATCACCGCACACACAGCAAACAAACAAACACACATTTCAACAACTTTTACTTTTTCCCGTAATGAGGAAAACAAACGCACAATTGAAAAGGTAGTACACACTGAATGAATCCTTTGAGACTTGGCACTGGAAATAGAGGAGCCTACCTTTTTCCTTATTTTATTGGATGCTTCTTTTTTGTCGCTGAAAATCACAACGTTTTCTGGTTTTAAAGAAGCAAAAATTTTGCAAACACCAATCACACACACAAAACTGACTGAGCCCGTCCGGTCTTGCTTGGACAAGAAGAAACAAGCGAGGTTTTCTTTCAATACGCCACCAAAAAAAACTAACGCGATACACAAAACTAATTAAATTAGACTTTTAGCAAACCGTTTTTTTTTTTTTTTTTTTTCTTTTTTGTTTATTTCAATTATGGCACCACACACAAACACAAATTGTCATAATTTACAAAATTTTCCGATTTTCTTTTGGAGTATTATCTACTTTTACACAGTTTGCTTGCTCATTCACAAATTATTTTCCATTTAGTAGGTGGCAGTGCAAAGCAAATGAAAATGTCACACAAAATGCGAGCAAAAGAAAGCGGCCAACAATAAGCATCATTTCGGGGAAGATAGAGCGTAATAAAAGCACAACATTTGCAACACTCAATAATGCACATACAAACGCACACACACTCACTCTCTGTTGTTTTCTCAACCTTACCGAATACTGAGAGAGAGTAAACACCACTAATTATTTCTCATTGAGAAACCCCCCAAAAAAACCACAGCGTGTGTATGAGAGGGAGAGAGCACTTACAGAATAAAATCAACCAACCAACAACAATAACAAAACTCAAAAAGAGGGTGCAATTTTTTTTTTCATTTCGTACTTGTCATTTGTTATGAATTAACAAAAAAATACATAGAATATTTATTTACTTTTTTCGAATGATATCTGCGCTCAACTTTGGCTTTTCTTTCCATAAAGTTGATTTCGGGCACTTTATATTTCAGTTTATTCAATGGCTTAGAAGGGTTTTCAATTGAAAAATGTTCTTATTTTCAACACTTCCAGAACTTTGTTATTAGGGTTATTGTGTAGTTTTAGCTTTTTTTTTTTGCAATTTTTCGGTTAAACTTTTGTTTTCATTCGACAATGACGGCGACGCGATTTTGATACTCTGTATGTATTAACTTCGTTGTATATAGTTATGTGATTTATGCAATTTAATTCAATAATTTAAGCACAGTATTTTTTCTCATGTAGGTTTTCTTTTATTTATTGGTATAACAAACACTTTCCACAGGACAAGAAACAAAGTTTTAGCAGACGATACGCGCTTCACGACAACTTTTCAGCTTGAAAGTTCGCTATGATTTGAATTGTCAAATGTCTGAAAATGCCTGTTTTACTCGCGAGCAATTTTGGAATTGATGGAAATGGAAAAATGAGAAGTGCTGCGAATGAGAGAATGGAAGATGTGAAATTCCGTGAATGAGAGAGAGAGAATTGGTGAACGATGGCGTTGCCAACTTTTGCATTGACGTTTTTGGGTTGCCAGTATTATTTACAGTGAAACCAAAATGTATATGCCTATTTTCTATGCGTAATAAGGAATATTGTTCATAAAATGGCTCAATAAGAAAGGTTGCTCAACTTTAAATATACTAGGAAAATGCAACTCTGTGCTGGCGTCTTAAAGTGTCAAGTAAACTTTTAAATATGCAACAGTTGGTTTTAATTTTTTTTTTTAATTTTTTTAAACAGAATTTTTTGTGGTTATTCCCCAATATTGAAATTGAAAATTTTAGACAACACAAAGTATTCGATTTTTTGTACAATTTGGTATTTTTCGTAATCTTATTGTGCAAATCTCACATAAACCCAAACCTATCATTCGCTTACGAAGACTGACCCTCGTGCAAAATGTAAAGGTTTTTGCTGAAGCCGTTTCGTCTGGGCTTTGATTCTCGGTCAGCCAGTTATTTCAGCGCTTGGGAACATTGATGTGTCAAAAATGTAAAAATAAAAATCGTTTTTTTATATTTTTGAAAGATGTTACAATGAGTATTTTTCAGAAATTTTAATAAATTTGAATAATTTTTCATTCAAAATTGAGATGACAGCAGCTGTGTCTACCTGTATTATATCGTCATGACGTATAGATTGTTTTCGCGTTGCCAGTTTTTATAAAGCATGGCAGAAGAATACAGGTAGATGCATCAACGCTTGGAAGCATTGATATGTCAAAAAAATTTAAATGTTTTTTCAAATATAAGTAGATTTTTATACATTTTCTTATACTACGTCATTCGGAGGCAAATTTAAATAATTTTTTATTCAACATTTTCAATTCTAAAATTGGTTTGACAGTTCATTGTCCCAGCAGCTGTGTCGACGCGTCTACCTATATTCTTCTACCATGTTATAAAGTACCACAAAAATACAACATTTCCTCTGAATTGCTTGGTTGGGTGTCAGCTGATTCACCGGTTGATAGAAACATCAATGGCCTTTTTTTATAACCATATGTTTTCAAAATTAAACCCTCCTTAAAGGGGAATTCGCAAATCGAGATAATAAAACCAGTAAAGAAAGTCTTAAAGTCGGGCGGGGCCGACTTTATGATACCCTACACCATTTTGCTAATTAAGTAGAGCTACACATAACAATTAAAAGCTTTTATGGGAGAATTCAATCATACACGCTATGATTATAATTATAATTAAAAGTTCAAAGGACTAAATATGCCGAAGCATTTGTATCTTTTAAATTCGGAATTGTATTGCCCATTTGGTGCACAATTAATTTGAAATCGGATAAAGATATATATGGGAGCTTTATCCGAATCTGAACCGATCTCGATAAAATTTGGCAAAGATATTTCTGAGCTGTATTTGATATATTTCCCTGAATATCGTTGTTACGGAGTGCATATTACAGTTGTGGGTAACAAATATAACAAATCGGATGAATAATATATATGGAAGCTACAGTCATATCTGAACCGATCTTCACCAAATTTGACATACTACCTTCTAGACTTAATTCGGTCGTATGTGCCAAATTCCATCCCATTTGGACAAATATTAGACGTTTGGTGCACAATAAATGGTAAATCGGACGAAGTTATATATGGGAGCTATATCCAAATCTGAACCGATCTCGATAAAATTTAGCAAAGGTATTTCTGAGCTGCATTTGATATATTTCCCCAAATATTGTTGTTACAGAGTGCATATTACGGCTGCGGAGGACAAAAATAACAAATCGGATGAACAATATATATGGGAGCTATAGCTATATCTGAACCGATTTCGATCAAATTTGGCATACATATTTTCAGGCTTAATTTGGGTGTATATGCAAAATTCCGTACAATTCGGCCTGATATTACACGTTTGGTGCACAATAAAAGGCAAATCGGACGAAGATATATCTAAATTTTTATATATATAAATTTTTATATATATATCTAAATTTTTACCGATTATCTCCAATTTCAATAGGGTTCCTCCTTTGGCCAAACAAAAGATGCGACCTGTACTTTGTTTACAAAAATACATGGACAAACGGACGGGCGGACAGACGGACGGACGGACATGCATAAATCGACTCAGAATGTGATTCTATGCAGATCATCAAAAAGAACTATGGGTCTATCTCGTTTCCTTCTGCCTGTTACAAACAAATGCACAAAGACATAATACCCTGACCACCTTGTGGTGTAGGGTATAAATACGGCAATGTAACTTAAGGTGAGAATACATAAAACGTTTTTTTGACTGGCTTAAGCTTTCAGCTGGCTTCATCGTATAAGAACAAAGGAGCCAAGGTCCGAAATCGTACTCAGTCAACCCACAACTCCTTTGTTCCGACGACTTAAGGTGGGAATACGTAAAGCGCTTTTCTGGCTGGCTTCTTCGGAAATGAACATAGGAACCTAGGGCCAAGTCGAACTAAGTCAAACAACCACCACCCTTAAGCCAGTCAAGAAATTCTTTTATGTACTCTCCCCCTTAGCTATAACAATTTGACCATGTTCCTAGAGCACAAGATCTAGTTGAACCATAGGAACTAGATGAAATAAACAAATAGATGAATGAATGCAATGATAATAGTTCCCACGGTTCCCTGCACAGAATAGTTCTTTTGAACTAATTCATTCCGGAACGACAGCGACGACACACAGGGAACCCACAATGAAGGAAACCATTCCTCTGCCCCAAATTCAACAATTGATTCATGATATTAAAGTTGGGTAAGTTGTCCCTTTAATTGCAAAAAATAAAAACTAATGATGAAATAATTGCATCCATTCACAGTAAAGTTGATGGCTCATTTAATATAACCACAAAAACATTGGAGCTATTCAAACAAATCATAACAAATGCCAAGTGGCAACATGCCGAGTAAGCGGAATCAAGTTTTTGGAATATCTGCAACTATTAATTTTCCTACTATTTCCGTAGAGATTTAATGCAAATCATACGGTCTCAGGGACAAATTCTGCAATCGGCGCTACCCCAGGAGACTGTAACGGCCAATGTGACCCGTCGTTTATTGAAAATTATACGTGAGGAGTTTGATTTATTGCAAGTGAAAGTAAGTGTCTGTCACAATGATATTAAATTGAATAAGGGCTCCAGTCATGTTTGGAAATTAACCAGTAGTAGTCTCTATAGACCTGATTTTAATAGCACACGTGAATTTTCCTTTAAATATCAATGCAAATGTACTGACGAAAGTTTGGAGGTTCAAAATCTAAGGCAGCACGAAAAGAATTTTGAGATTCCCCCAATTGGCGATTCAGAGAACATTCAAATCCGCTCCCAAATATGGTTTAGCACCTCCTGGCGTATCAACATTTTACCATAGATACCCCTTTGGAGTCTTGAGTACGACGGGGAAGTCCACACTTCTAAAGTATTTGTAAGACCAACTAAGACAATATGAATGTCAATGCGAAGCTCATACGCCACTGCTTACAAAGGACAGCTGACCAATAATAATCTTCTTTTTAAAAGGAATTTTAGTCCCAAAGCTGGTGGTGGAATCGATCTATGCGTGAAAGTCTTAAATTTAATTAAAAGTTTGAAATTTAAAATAACTACATCTCTCCGGCCTTAAGCTACTTCGCTATTATCATAGCCATCAATAGACGCGAATTTTACTTTTCTAACTAGGAAACAATTTTGAGAGTCCCCCAATCGCTGATTGAAAGAAAATTCAAGTCCACACTCTTAAATGGGGTATAAGGGGTCCCTCGCGGACTAATCAGAAAATTTTACCATAAGTACCCCTTGAGGTCTTGAGCACAACGGGGAAGTCTATAATTCCAGAGTGTTTGTAATACCAACCAAGTAATATGGCTATCAATGTGAAACTCTAGCTCCACTGATTAAAAAAGGACCACTATAAAAATACTCCACGTTTTTATTGCATGCAGGCAAGCGTAGCTGTCGTTGGAATCGGTCCATAAGTAAATCTCTTAAATTTAATTAAAAGTATGAAATTTAAAAACTCTTTGATTGCGTAGCCGAAGTTGGACATTCCAAAAGGAGAAAATCTCATAATTTGGTTTTATAGACAAATCAAGGCTGGTTACAAAAAAAGGTTTCAATCTTAGATACATTTTTGATTCGCTGTGTCGGTGTTACACATAGTCAAAAGAGAAAATCGCAAGCTCCTGCCAAAAGCAGACTATGTAAAAAGTATCAAATTAAAAAAGAAAGACTTTGGGTCCCACATCCGTAGTTTATACCCATCTCACAAACTCTGGTAATATTGCAGACACCAACGGAACTTAAGGGGAACATAAACCGAAGTATTGTTACACAAGAAAAAATTATATTGTCGTACTTGGGACACCGACTGTCGTAAAATTTTCAAAAAGGTCGGTAAAATGCAGTATTTCTTGGCAAATGTTTCGCCATCAAGGCCAAAAATTGTGGATGCAATGCCTACTTTGGAACTTTAGACAAATCCAACACATTTTTCGTATGCCGGTCAGCGGATATTTTATGACCTATTTTGAGTACCATGTCCTTTAAGAGCTTGGTGGTCACTATACGTAGAAGCGGCTACTTTCGTAGACCTGGAGATTAAATCAGAACCATAATCTAAAATTAAAAGTCATATAAGGAAACAACCAACTCCAGAAATTCTAAAGTATTCAAACCTACCAGAATGCCGCCCTGAGAGCTGCAACAGGATGCCTGCTCCTGACTCCAGTGGACCATATACATGAGCAGACGAATTTTAGCTCACTTACGTCAGCGTAATCTTATGCTTTCGTTGCATCACCTGCTTGAGTGTTAACGTGTGAGACAACTTAACCATTATATGGTGGACAGAACTAACGCCCCCCCAGGAATGTCAGGAAGGGTCTTGCATGATCTAGGGAGAAGGAGGTCTCGAAGCCTATCACGCAGGTCTGAATAGCATTCATACTGATGCAGTCTGAGTATGAATGCCATCATCGGAGTCCAACGCATATCCATGACAGCCGAAGAGCATCGTACATCTTCATCAATTTACTCCCAATACGATTTGAGACGGCTACACCATCCTGAAATTAGTTGAACCAAAACTAACCCGGTTTGTTGTTGTATTAGCTTCACATGGTTTGTTTTATTTCTAGCTCTACGTTGAAGAATTCGGCTACTTTCGACCAATTCATTCCGCTGGATCTTTGGAAACAGCTCTTAAGAGTAGCTGACTTCCTAAACCTGGACATTGAAGTAGAACCAGATTAGCAATCTATAAACAATAGTATATATTACCACAACTATTATCGGTTCCAAATTAGTAGCCTTATAAAAAAAATTATAGTTTTTAGATAAAATAAAGGTGTCACCCACGAAGGGAAACAAAGGTTAAAGTTTTGAGAAACGAATTTGGTACCCGATTTGGTCAACATTCTCACCATTATAATATTTCTATTAGAATTAGATGAGGTTCGAAGGCGGGTTCTACTCATTTTGATGTTTCTCCTCGGTCGGCATAACCGACTGACTTTAATTGTTCTATTTTTTTTAACCAAATGAATGCTAACGATTTTTACTTTCAGGACCACCATTTGGCTGATGACTCCCAGGCCTCGTTATCCCTGCATAAACTAGTTACCCAGACCAGCGAATGTGATGTATGTGTAGATTATGGTATACCACGTGCTGGCCTCAAAGAAGCTTTGCTCGATCATTTGGAAGAAATTGAAACTGAATTGGAAACTAGCTGTGAAAGTATATGCGCTCAGGCTGAACAACACATACATTCGACTGAAGTCATTCTAACATTGGGCCACACAAGAAGTGTTGAACATTTCCTGAAGCGGGCCATTAAGAAAAGACAATCGTTGACCATTATTATTGCAGAGTGTGCACCGGCATGTAGGGTAAGTGGAATCACTGAAAGTATACCATGAAATAATTACAAATGTTTGGGTTTTATAGGGTCACAATTTGGCGGCAAGCTTGGCCAGTAATAATGTGGAAATTATTGTCATACCCGACTCGGCCATATTTGCCATGATGTCTCGAGTGAACAAGGTGATTATTGGTACCCACAGTGTTTTGGCTAATGGTGGTTTGCGTGCTGCCTGTGGTGCCTATACGGTTGCCTTGGCGGCCAAACATTATTCGGTGCCGGTCATTGTTTTGGCACCCATGTACAAATTGGCGCCCGTTCATTTGTGTTCCTACGAACAAGACGCTTTCAATTCGCTGGGTTGTGCTGAGGGTGTATTGCCCTATGATTCATCGGCTGCACGATGTGCAAAAATCTATAGTCCCATATTCGATTATGTACCACCGGAATTGGTGACGTTATTTATATCGAATACGTAAGTGGAAAACGATTTCGAAAGAAATGCATATAAATAATGATTTGTTTTCTATTCGTTTTCGTTTAGTGGTGGCCATGCTCCTTCATATGTTTATCGTTTGCTGACCGAACTATATCATCCTGATGATTATGAAATGTAATTGGTAGAGTGTTTGTGCGTTCTTTTTGTTATTTTTTCTATACCAAGTACAGCAATGTTTAAATCAAGCAACTAATAAAAACGTACAAATGAACTGATAGAACATGCTGAACACCAAAAGAACTACTTACATTTACCTTTTTTTTGTGGACAATTTCAAATAGTTTTTTGTTTTTATTTTTTTCTTTTGATTCTTTGTTCTTTGAAACGTTTAAAATCCAATTAGTTGGAAATATATTTTGCTGATGAATTCTTTCAGCAATCCCTTTTCTCTTTTTGGCCGTGAGTTTGTGACGATTGTTGCCCGTTGTATTTTGTCGTATAATTTCAATCAGTATAATGTGGACATTTTAAAGACTAGTTTATTATTTGCAATTCAAGTTAAAAATGGGCATTAAAAAAATTAATATATAAAAGGAGAAATTTTCACGAAATCAAGAAACATCATTTCTCTGTTAAGTGAAAAAAATGTTGAAACTGAAGTGGAAAAATATTGAAAACTGAGAGGAATATACTTCCTAACACTGCATAAACATATAATGGAAAACTTTTGTGGACATATTTGTAAAACAGTTTTTTTGTAACTCTTTAAAACTATAAAATATAAAAAAATAATAATAATAAAATATTCAAATCTGTAATCTTAGTGAAAATGGTGTAATCTTATGATCATTAACGTTTTGTAAAAATAGGTGCGCATCCTAAGTGGACAATAATTTTGTGTAGTGTTTGTCTTAATTTCCAAAATATGGTACATTGGGAATATAATTCAAAAATTTATTGAATCGATACTGACCGAATTGGTACGTAAAACATCTGTAACTTCCGAAATTTCTGAGATTTTTTTCAAATCAAGGAAAAATGTATTTTCTTGTAGTTTGGGTTTTGAACTTGACTTGAAAAGAAAATCTGTGCAGACGTGGCACGTTACATGTTTCAGTAAATTCGGACAGATAAACTCATGGTCGCCTTTTATATATAAGCAGCAATCTGGATTTCAACGCCATAGACCTCAATAATATTTAACTTACAATGTCAAAATAGGGTTAAGTTCCATCTTTTGTTCATTTTCCTTCTTCGGCGAAACGATGCCAAGTGAAATTACAAGGAAAAGAAATTACTTATTTTTCAATTTCATTTCGGGGGATTCTACGATAAAGAAATTATTAAAGAGACGACTGCTAATGGGAGAGTATTATCTACAAAAAATATCTTTGATCCGAAGAGGTGTCAGCACGGTTCATGGGGAGTGCTGTTGATGATTCGTTTGAAGTGCTAAATCATCCAATCGAAAACAATATTAGATGGAGGTCCCCATTTACGTCGTTCCCGAAGCCTGTTGTTAGGCTAGGATTGCCAGAATATCATCCACAGATCATGAGAAATTATTAGACCGCAGATTTTTTTCAATACGTCAGCATAACCATGCTTTTGTGGCATTACCTCCTTGCTGCATTGATTCTGTTTAATGAAAGCTCCAAATTTAGCTGAACCTAGCCCATCCAAAGGCAATGCTGTTTTTTTTAATCAAATTTTATTTATTACAAAAATCTATTTACATTTTTCTATTGGATTCATCTTCAGAATTCATTCACCCAAAATGTCCATGAAATCTCTCACACTTTCGGCATAATAATCTGGTGTATTGCATTCGGGTGCGTTTAACATATCCTCCTTGGTATTGCCACCACTCAAAACGAACAGAGTCTGGAAGCCAACATTTTTTCCAAAATTGATATCCATTTTCAAAGAATCGCCAATAAATAGACAACGATTGGCCTGAGTTATATTGAAACGTTCCTTAAGAATATCCGCCAGCAGCAAAGAGGGTTTACCCAAAACAATTGGCTGTTTATTTGAATATTTTAAAAGGAAATTATAGAAATCTATATAACCTGCAAGTAGAGAAATACACGTAGTTAGTGAAGGGGGAGAGAGAAATTTTCAATCAAAAATATTAAAAAAAAAAAAACAATTGTCACTGGTGATAATATTATTTTCTATAGAAAATGTATCACCGGTGATAATTTTTCCTTTAAAAAATATATCACTGGTGATAATATTTTTAAAAGGAAATATATCACTGGTGATAAATTTTTTCAATACAAAATTTGTCATCAGTAGTGGTTTTTTCAATAGAAAATTCCTTATCAGTGATAATTTCTTCAATAGAAAATTCATCATCAGTGATAATTTCTCAATAGAAAATTTATCATCAGTGATAATTTCTCAATAGAAAATTTATCATCAGTGATTATTTTTTTTATAGAAAATTCATCATCAGTGATAATTTTTTCAATAGACATTTCATCACCATTGATAATTTTTCCAATAGACAATTCATCACCAATGATAATTTTTTCAATAGAAAATTTATCACCAATGATAATTTTTTCAATAGAAAATGTATCATCACCGGTGATAATTTTTCAATAGAAAATTTATCATCACCGGTGATAATTTCTCAATAGAAAATTTATCATCACCGGTGATAATTTCTCAATAGAAAATTTATCATCACCGGTGATAATTTCTCAATAGAAAATTTATCATCACCGGTGATAATTTCTCAATAGAAAATTTATCATCACCGGTGATAATTTCTCAATAGAAAATTTATCATCACCGGTGATAATTTCTCAATAGAAAATTTATCATCACCGGTGATAATTTCTCAATAGAAAATTTATCATCACCGGTGATAATTTCTCAATAGAAAATTTATCACCGGTGATAATTTCTCAATAGAAATTTATCATCACCGGTGATAATTTCTCAATAGAAAATTTATCATCACCGGTGATAATTTCTCAATAGAAAATTTATCATCACCGGTGATAATTTTTCAATAGAAAATTTATCATCACCGGTGATAATTTCTCAATAGAAAATTTATCATCACCGGTGATAATTTCTCAATAGAAAATTTATCATCACCGGTGATAATTTCTCAATAGAAAATTTATCATCACCGGTGATAATTTCTCAATAGAAAATTTATCATCACCGGTGATAATTTCTCAATAGAAAATTTATCATCACCGGTGATAATTTCTCAATAGAAAATTTATCATCACCGGTGATAATTTCTCAATAGAAAATTTATCATCACCGGTGATAATTTCTCAATAGAAAATTTATCATCACCGGTGATAATTTTTCAATAGAAAATTTATCATCACCGGTGATAATTTTTCAATAGAAAATGTATCATCACCGGTGATAATTTTTCAATAGAAAATGTATCATCACCGGTGATAATTTTTCAATAGAAAATTTATCATCACCGGTGATAATTTTTCAATAGAAAATTTATCATCACCGGTGATAATTTTTCAATAGAAAATTTATCACCGGTGACAATAGAAAATTTATCACCGGTGATAATTTTTTTCAATAGAAAATTTATCACGGGTGATAATTATTTTCAATAGAAAATTTATCACCGGTGATAATTTTTTTCAATAGAAAATTTATCACCTGTGATAATTTTTTTAATAGACAATTCATCACTAGTGGTAATTTTTTCAATACCAAATTTATCAATAGAAATTGTATCATCACTGATAATTTCTCCGTTAGAAAGTGTATCATAATTGATAATTTTTCGGTTGAAAAATTTATCACCAGTGATAATTTTTTCAATAGAAGATTTATCATCAGTGATAATTTTTTCAATAGAAAATTCATCACCTGTGATAATTTTTTCAATAGAAAATTCATCACCTGTGATAATTTTTTCAATAGAAAATTCATCACCAGTGATAAGTTTTTCAATAGAAAATTCATCACCAGTGATCATTTTTTCAATAGAAAATTCATCACCAGAGATTATTTTTTAAATAGAAAATTCATCACCAGTGATAATTTTTCAATACAAAATTTATCATCAGTGATCCTTTCTCAATAGAAAATTTATCATCAGTTATAATTTCTCAATAGAAAATTTATCATCAGTCATAATTTCTCAATAGAAAATTTATCATCAGTGATAATTTCTCAATAGAAAATTTATCACCGGTGATCATTTTTTCGCATAGAAAAATTTTCACTTGTGATAAGTTTTTTGTATAGAAAAATTATCTTTGGTGATAAGTTTTTCCTATAGAAAAATTATCACTGGTGATAAGTTTTTCCTATAGAAAAATTATCACTGGTGATAAGTTTTTCCTATAGAAAAATTATCACTGGTGATAAGTTTTTCCTATAGAAAAATTATCACTGGTGATAAGTTTTTCCTATAGAAAAATTATCACTGGTGATAAGTTTTTCGTATAGAAAAATTATCACTGGTGATACGTTTTTCCTATAGAAAAATTATCACTGGTGATACGTTTTTCGTATAGAAAAATTATCACTGGTGATACGTTTTTCGTATAGAAAAATTATCACTGGTGATACGTTTTTCGTATAGAAAAATTATCACTGGTGATAAGTTTTTCGTATAGAAAAATTATCACTGGTGATAAGTTTTTCGTATAGAAAAATTATCACTGGTGATAAGTTTTTCGTATAGAAAAATTATCACTGGTGATAAGTTTTTCGTATAGAAAAATTATCACTGGTGATAAGTTTTTCGTATAGAAAAATTATCACTGGTGATAAGTTTTTCGTATAGAAAAATTATCACTGGTGATAAGTTTTTCGTATAGAAAAATTATCACTGGTGATAAGTTTTTCGTATAGAAAAATTATCACTGGTGATAAGTTTTTCGTATAGAAAAATTATCACTGGTGATAAGTTTTTCGTATAGAAAAATTATCATTGGTGATAAGTTTTTCGTATAGAAAAATTATCACTGGTGATAATTTTTTCCTATAGAAATAATTTATCACTGGTATTAAGTTTTTCCTATAGAAATAATTTATAACTGGTGATAAGTGTTTCCTATAGAAATAATTTATCACTGGTATTAAGTTTTTCCTATAGAAAAACCCATGTTAACTTTGTAACGAGCCAATTGGCCACTGGTGATAATTTTTGTTGCAAAAACTTACCCGGCATGGAGTGACTTGCATCCAAGGGAATTACTTGATCCATTGCTCCAAATAATAGCTGACAATTGGAATCTTTTAAATATTCCACTGCCTTCACCATGTGTATATATCCCCACGAAGTATTGACATCAGCCAGGACATAGTCAACTTTGACAAGTCCATATTTCAAGACAAAATTACCCATGGAAGCACATGTGCTGGTATCATAATCCAAGTCAACAACATCAAATCCATGCTCGACAAGTAAATCTATACCAGCCTTACCGAGAAGGGGATATACCACAGCATTGGGTTTGTTTTGTTTCATATACCAAATCATTGATTTGACCGGATGGATAATGTCACTCTAAAATTGAAACGTTTTAAAAATGTTGATTCAAAAAATATTGGAATATCCTTCACTTCTTACCTCCTTAACATTGGTCATGCCATATTTTGCAATTCTCGCTAAATATTCGTCATTGGATCGTACACTGTTGTTAGATACAAATTTCACCAGCTTACCCCTGGATTTCAGCTTTTGCAAGGCTTCAAAGACACCGGGTATCGGGTGACCAGTAACCGTCCACAGAACTCCGTCACAGTCGCTAAAAATGCAATCAAAAGAATTTAGAAATTCTTTGCATTCTTCCGGCGTTAGCTGGCGCAAACTTTTGATGTTGTTCGATGGCATGTTGCTCGGTCAATGCCGTTATCAATGCAATATTACGAGGTATTTGTTTAATAGCGCAACAGTCAGAACAACGCTCTTAGCTTTCTCTCGCTCTTGATGTAATATTTACATTAACTTAAATTTAAGATACAAAAAAAAAGAAATAATTGAATAAATTGTTGTCACATTAACCCATTGAGGGGTATACAAATTTTGGTGCAATAATGAAACAAGAAATGGTCCGATCTCTAAACTTTTTTATAACAGATCTTGTGTTGATGAAAATATTGAGATGTGCCAAATCTGAATGGAATCGGATGTTATTCAAAATGTTCACTCTATGTGGGGGAGGTACCTGAAGGAATACCGATATATCACATCTTCACACCATATCTTGTATTAGTAGAAATAAATAATAGAAATATGAAGAGAACCAGATGCTTATTTTGGATTTTGTTATTCCCCCCCTTTGTGGGGAAGGTACCAGAGGGAATGGTCCGATCTCAACTATCTTTATAACAGATCTTGTGCTGATGAATATATTGAGATGTACCTAGTCCGAATGGAATCGGATGTTAACTTCGCGTTTTATAAGCTTCATGGATATTCAAAATTTTAACCTTTTGTGGAGGAGATACCAGAAGGAGTGCATCTTCATAGCATACCTTGGATTAATAAAAATGTGGAGTGGGAGGTACTTGATGGAGTTGGCCGATATTGTCTATTTTCACACCAGACCTAGCACCGATGCAAACATTAGAAATGGAGTAAAATTGGATTATCCTTCCTGTTTTTTTTTACCCTCCACCATACTATGGAGGGTATATTAATTTTGTCATTCCTTTTGTAACTCCTCGAAATACTCATGTCAGACCCAACAAAGTATATATATTCTTGATCAGCGTAAAATTCTAAGACGATTTACCCATGTCCGTTTGTATGTCTGTCTGTCCGTCTGTCTGTCTGTTGTAATCACGCTGTCTTTCGAACAAATTGAGATAGAAGGCTAACATTTTGCACAAATGTATATTTTGCCAGTAGGCAGGTTAAGTTCGTAAATGAGCCATGTAGGTCCAAGTTATCATATAGCCCCCATATAACGGTACCTCCCGATATTGGGTATTTCGATGATTTAGCGACATTATTCACCGGAATTGTGTCAAATTTGGCATTTGAAGTTTTTAAGGGATACTACAGCGTAAGACAGAAAATTATCTGTGCTGGTCCACGTCTTCGTGTAGCCCCCATATAACGGTACCCCCCGATATTCGGTATTTTGATGATTTTAGCGACATTATTTAGCGGAATTGTTCCAAATTTGGTATTTGAAGTTCGTAATAGATACTGCAGCATAAAACAGAAAATGGGCCATGTAGGTCCACGACTTCATATAGCCCCCATATACCGTACCCCCCGATATTCGGCATTTTGATGATTTTAGCGACACTATTTACCGGGATTGTTTCAAATTTCGCATGTGAAGTTCGTAATGGATACTTCAATTGTCTGTGCAGGTCCACGTCTACGTATAGCCCCCATATAACGGTACCCCCATATTCGGAATTTTGATGATTGTAGCTACATTATAAACAGATTTTTCTTCAAGTTTCGCATATAAATATTGTAATAACTTATGAGAAAAGTTGCCTATGCAGGTCCACGTCGTCGTATAAGCATTCGGTATTTTTAAGATTTTAACAGAATTTTTACGGATTTTATTTATTTTTTTGGAAATTGCCAAATTTGTACCAAATGGTGGAGGGTATTAAAAGTTCGGCCCGGCCGAACTTACAGCTTTTTTACTTGTTTTTTTTTTTTTTTGAAGAATTCAACCTTTGGTATTGTAGGTAACAAAAGGAGTGGACCGATATTGCCCATCTCCGAATTCGTTCTAAGTTTTATAATAATATTACGATGTACCAAGTTTGGATAAAATCGGATACTCTCGTCGGGGGTTATCCTGCGCACCAACCAGACATACAGATAGATGGACGGACACCGCTAGATCGACTCCAAATGTCACAAAACGGATTTGGTCCATAGACACCTAGAGTCTTAAAACGTTATTTCGATGCAACACGTTTTGGCCGGATCAAATGATATATACCCTCTGTAGCCATATGGCTCTACTTTTAACATGGAGAAACAAATTTGAAATCAATATTTTAAAACAATTTTTGAAAACGGAAACCACTCACAAAACAAAAATACTAACGTCATTTTAATGTAAAAATAAGTTTCATTATTCATTCGAAAACCGGTACTTTTCAAATTTACAGAATTAAATAAAAAAATTGACATTTGCATTAGCAAACTTGTAATATTTACATCATGAAGCGCTTCGATTCCACGTGGAACTGAACGGTGTTTAAATACAACATTTTTGGAGCGATTGACCGTAACGAATTGCTTGTCACAAAAAACTTAACGTATGTTTTTCGTTGACGAAATTATTGTGATTGGTCACTTATCAGGTGGGCCCGGATATAAATTTGTATGCAATATCGCGTCTCTACTATTTGTGTAAGTGAGAAGAGAAAACACAACCAATCTGTTGCCGGATACCATTGTAGTCTTAGTGTTTTCAAACACCCACCTACTTGAACACTTCATTCCCGTTCGATCGCTTCTGGTGCGTTTGCAGTCAATTTTCTTAAATGATGGATTCCATTTAAGAAAATTGACTGCAAACGCCTACTGTTTCGATATTTTCCCTAAATCAAAAAAAAAATCGGAAATATCATCAAATTTTAGAATTAGTTTAGATTTGTTCGAATTGGTCACCTTTGGCACGAATTATGGCCTTCAAACGGCCAATGAAACCATCACACGCTCCCCGAATGATACCCTGCGGTATTTTGGCCCATTACCAGCGAAGCGCTAGCTTGAGGTGATCGACACTTTGGTATTTTTTAGTGCCAACCTTGCTTTCCAAAATACATACTCCAGACACAATAGTCCAACGGATTGGTATCCGGAGATTTTGGTGGCCATTGAAGCGAGGAACCTCATTTTGTAACCATTCTTGGGTACCGCGTGCTGAATGCGATTGTGCTGAGTCCAGTTGGAATGTCCAAAGTCTACGGCCAAAATGTTTGCGTGCCCAAGGCTTTAATACACCCTCCAGCATTTATTCTGATGCCACGGTCGATTAATACGAGCGGAGAGCGACCATCGGCTGTTACGGCCGCCCACACCATCACCATGGCCGGCGCTTGAGTTCTGATGGCCAACCGAAGGTGTACATTTTCAGCTGACCTCTTTGGCAAGGAAACAGGATCATTTTGTTTGTTTACAAACTGCTGGACAACGAATGTTTTCTCATCGGAGAAAACCAAATTTGGCAGTTCACCTCTTTCGCCAAGCGTTGCTTAGCTTCTTTAGCTCTTTTGAGTCTATTTTCTTTCTGTTGCGGTGTAAGTTCATGCACTTTTTGGAACTTCAATGGCTTTACCCCGAGCTCACTTTTCAATATTTACCTAATGGAATATTGAGATGTGTTCAGCTTACGAGACATTTTTCGGCCACTGCGACGCGGGTTTCGATCAAGTCGCTTCTTTACTTTTCGAACCATTTCTGCTGATGTTGCTGTTTTCTTCCGTCTACTTCCTTGACGTCGGGCTACGCTACCAGTATCACGGTAACGAGCGATGGTACGAGACCCAAAAGATTTAGTCACATTTAAATGCTGGAGTGCTCTAACGATAGCCACTTGTGGGTTTTCAGCCAAATATAAAGAAATCACACTATCACGCTTGAACTCCATCACGAATAACTTCTGTTCTGAAAAAATCTCACCAAAATGCTTCAGTACGCTTGTAAATATATAATGAGCTGTCTCTGGAATAATTTTAACAGCTGTCGGACGAGTGGCTTATAAATGACGTTAGTATGAAGTTGGTTGCAGTTTTTTCATCTCACCCCTTATACCCTCTGTAGCCATATGGCTGTAGCCTTCTACTTTTAATATGATAAATAAATTAGAAATCAATCTTTTAAAACAATTTTGGAAAACGAAAACCACGTACAAAACCAAAAAACTCACGTCATTTGAAGAAAAAAAAAACATTTTCCAATTTTTTGGAGAGTATATATAATTCCTTCAATATAAAAATAAGTTTCATTATTCATTTGAAAACCAGTACTTTCTACGTTTGCAAATTTACTGAATTAAATTAATTAAAAAAATTTGACATTTGTATTAATATCAAAAGAACATTTGCATTAGCAAACTTGTAATATTTACATCATGAAGCGCTTCGATTCCACGTGGAAGTAATACGGTGTTGAAACACAACATATTTGGAGCGATTGACCATAACAAATTACTTGTCACAATAAATTTAACGAACCCTTTGCTTTGGATGTAGTTGTAGTCGATTTCGTATGAAGATTTTCGCTGTAACAGTTACTAGAGTCAACCAACCTAATGGATTGAACATCTTTGCCAGGTTCGACAACGCAAATCATTTGGTTATCCTGTAGTCTTTGTTGATCTACATATTAAATGTAAAGCAATCTGTTGCTGGATACCAAATCCATAAGTCGCCTGCTGTTCCGATGTTTTCCCCCGAACTCTCATGCACTCTTATTCTGTATATGCTTGTCGTCCGTGTGGACATCTTCCTTGATTCTTTCAGCAATTTGATTACCCTCCACCATACATAGTATGGAGGGTGTATTAATTCCGGTTGTATTCATCGACACAATAATTTTAGACACAACAAATTCTATATATTTTTGTTCAGCGTAAAATTCTAAAACGATTAAGACCTGTCCGTCTTTTGTAATCACGATAGAGTCAAAACGAATAAAGGTAGGAAGCTAAAATTTTGCACAGATCAATCTTTTGTCTGCATGCAGGTCAAGTTCTAAGATGGGCTACATCAAATAGAAAAAAATTGTCTATATAGCCCCACGATATCGTATATCACCCATATAATGGGAGTGGTTTGAAAATTTCATATTTAGACTTTGTAATGGGTACTAAAGCCTATGACAAAAAATCGCGTATGCGTTGCCTCCCAATATTCGGTATTTTGATGTTTTTTGGCGACATTATTCACCGGAGTTATTTCAAATTTCGTATTTAGAGTTCGTCATGGGAACTAAAGTCTATGTCAAACAATTGTCTAAGCTGGCCCAGATCTTCGCAAATGCCCCATATATCAGTACCTCCCC